CTGATGTCAAAACGCTGATGGTTTATTCGGAGCGTCGGCCGGAGAATTCACAAAGCAAGTCAAGAGTCAGAGGTTCTGACTTCACGGTAGAGTTGCCACGTCAATTCTGAAGAACTCTACCCCAGACCCGTGTGTTTACCTAGTTCAGAGAGAATAATCCACATGCTGCATAACAAGATAGAATGATAACACCTCTATCAGCTGACGCCATCAGGCAGGAACAGGGAGACAGAACACTGCGAGCACAGCAGACAAGGCTACAGGTGCGTGTGCTCAGTCAGGTCAGAACTGATACACTGGGTCAAAGTTAAGGGCCTTGGAAAATATTTCCCCAACAAACATTATGTTACATTTTCCTGGTTTCAATGACAAGCCTACTGTTGCAGTTGTATTCCCTTTGGATAGTAGTGAAGATGCATTAATTAAATAAGGACAGGGGCGCCTGGTTAACCTGCTCCCCCCCACCACCCCCCCCTGCAGGCCCCAGCACCACCTGCACCGAGGACTCCTGTCAGCACCAGGGAGTGTGTCTGCAGCTGTGGGAGGGCTTCTCCTGCGACTGCACCATGACCAGCTACGGGGGGCCGTTCTGCAATGACCGTGAGTACAGGTTAATTACGCCTCACGGGGTAGAAGAGTGGTAGGGAGAGTCTACTTTGGTCAAATATTCCACTGGTCTCTCTAGGGTTAATTATACTAAACCGCAATTAAAGGATTGAGCGACAGTTGCTGTAATATCTGAATTCCCTCGTAAGAAAACCACTCAGACTTATGTTGGTTTAAAGCAGGGGTGTCCAAACTTTTTTCACCGAGGGCCACATACAGAAAAATATACTATACTGCCTCATAAGTTCAGGTATAAGTTAGCAAAATCAATCAAATGTAGGTAAATGATGCTTGTGAGTGTTGGCAGCTCATCCCTTAAAACAGAAGCCTCAGATTGATTATAATAAGGAGAAATAGGAAGGGTGTATTTCAAGCTCGTTATGTAAATGAGTCATTGGGCTTTTTTCTTATGAACTAAGATATGTTAGAAAATGTTTCCAACTTACATTGACTGAATGTATTTGAAAAGTGGTCATGAATACTACTGTGTAATATATTTTTACATTTAAGAAGTACAATTTAAGGCAAGCACAAGTTTCATTTGTGGGCCATATTCCATTATACCTTTTGAATTTGCTGAGGGCCGATTCAAAATGGTCCGCGGGCCGCATTTGGCCGTAGTTTAGACACCTCTGGTTTAAAGTCTTCAGAAGTAGTTTTAGATTACATAACATGTGGCTGACTCAGAGACACTCTGTCTTATGGCCTGTAGTGGTAACAGTAAAGTGGAAAACACTATAACCCCACAATCAGAACTGTTCAAGAAATAAAAAAGAGCCTTGCTTCATCTTCAGCTTATCCAGCTCAGTGGTTCCTCACCTGTTTGGCTAGTGAACATTGTGTGCTTTTGGATTATTATTTGAAGTGATATTATGTAATATTTGACCAACACAAGAAGGAAGAAGAAAGAAGGAAAAGGTAAGAAGTTAACTTTCTTCTTACTTTCTTTATTTTCTTTTGCTTTTACCATGGTGGCTCCTAATTCTTCTACATGTCAGTTGAATCTGACTTCATACAGTAGCTATCAAACCACACCAGTAACACAGCAGTAGGAGCACACGTGATGCTTTCTGTGATTTAGATCCCATTTCCAGGATCTGCAAGAGCTCACTGTTCTCTCTTTACTTAAAACAAAATCAATTGATGCTCAAAGGTAGGAAATCAATCAAGGACTAATGTATCCTTTAGAAAATAATGCAAAGAATGCAACCTATAAGGGACTTGCATTCAACAACAACAATGATAATTCAAAGCAGTGTTTGTGGTGGCTTTTCTATCACAACAACAAGAACATGTGAAATGTGTGTGGCACTATTAATTACTTTTTATTCTCACACCTTACATTGTTATATTTTAGTGCCATCTTTTACTCAGTGTATCGGAAAACATGTCTACCCTTATTAAGAATATGTACATATTGTGTTAGCGTGAGGATGTTGATGTATTTTATTTCTAACTTTAGCAGGCGATCGCACGCTAATGCACTACATGATTGATAGCTCCACATTTGATAGCTGCCTCTGTCATAAAGTGCCCTCTTTGTCCAAAATAATAGACCCGACTTTTACCAGAAGCTTTTCACTTATAATAGCAAAAGATTAACATTAAGCTTTTTGGTCCAGTGGTCACGGCGAGTTAAGCTTCATTTTCTGCAGTTATTAAAAAGAACTGCAGGAACGGTCCCTTTGGGGTGACCATTTTTAAAGTGTGCTGGCATGTAGCACTGTTTTAAGAGAGAAAAGCACGTTATACTCTGTAGGAGGTCTATTTAAGAATACATTGAGGGTATCGGTGTGTAAAAGAGTCATTGTGCAGAAAGAAAATAAGATGTTTTGAGAAAGACACACCTCACCATGGATTATTATTTTGTTAATTAAAACAGTCTAATTAGATCATTAAGAAAGTGAAACGCAAAATAAACTACTATCTGGAGTACAGTTGTTACTGACCTGCAGAAACTGCATCTCCTTTAGCTTCTACAGCACAAAGCTGCTTTCCTCCTCCATTTGTTCCGACAAGTTGTCTCATTAATCTGCTTGCTTCCTGTGTTACAAACTTACAAACACAGCCAAATGTGCTCGCTGCTGTAATGTATCGATCGAACCTGAAAATCAATGCTTTGTCCTCTGTAGTCTTTTTCTATTATGTCCTGTACTGTGTATATTACGCTGTTCAAGCTGCTTTTTTCTCAATGCATAAACGAGAGGGCAATATATTGGACCAAACAGGAGAGCTGCATTAGTTTACACTTTGTTTATGTGTGATATACCGCGGTAGTACAATCTGGGGAAGACTTCACGACTGCTACGGCAACATTTTGTATCCATGTAGATGGGACTGTACATTTACAAATTGACATTCCACAACAGGTAAAGCATTAATAAACCCTGTCATTGTCTGGAGCACATTATCACATTATAGGAACAACTTTTTAAAAGTTCCTACTTGACAACATACCCACAATATGTCTTGCAGGATGGAATGCATTGATTGAGTTTTTTTAATGTTCATCTCTTATTCCCATGCAGTCATACTTGCCAGCGGATCTGTGTCAAAGCAAAGCAAGGACACAAAAAACAAATTAATCTTCAATAAGTTTCATAATGATTCCCTTTGAGGGAGATCGCATTATTCATTTCTGTACTCAGTTGTTCAACACGATGTTTTTTGTTTTTCTATATTTTCTCTAGTTGCAGCTAGTTTGATATCAAACATCTAAGCCTGTATTTCAAATTGCTGCCCTAGGGCTAAACATTCATAGCACTCTTTCTGAAAAGTGTACAGCAGCATTTTGTTTCCCAAAAAAGGCAAAATGTGGCAGTTTTTAATTACAAACAATCCAGATCTTGTTGATTTAATTATATGAAAGCATCGTGAATACACTTTTTTTGTACAAGAGCTGCAAACAATTTATTTACTTATATTTCCATGCCCCAGAAAATAATCTATTCATCTACCAAAGGTCCCTTAGTAAGACACATTTATATTTTCAGTGCTTAAATAAAGCAGTGGTCTGCTCCTTTGGTATTTTACTGATAACTGTAGAATGTATTCCTGCGTTTAATAGACTATTATTGAACAATAATCAGCATCAAAAAGTCGATTTTCAAGAAAATCAAAAACAATTTAATTGCAGCATATTTGGTTTTCATCCAGCAGCGTTCAGGGAGGACTCTCAATCAAGCGGGGGGGTAAATGGCATCGCTGACCGATATAAAAGGTCAAACCAATACATCAGTCGAACGTGGAGGAAATAACAAGCCTCATGCTTCACATTGAGCTATCGGGACAGTCATTAAAACAAATGGAAAATATAACAATGATGTGCAAACACTAACAAATATGGAGGCAGGACAATTGTGTTGTTGCCATCAGTATTAGAGTGTTAGAGTATTATCCAAGCCAAAATCTGTTGCTTTGTTTTTATCGCCACTACTTATTCCACCCATCGATGTCTTCTTCTACAGAAGGTCAGTCAAATATCCAGAGTATTAAAAACGACGTGTGGAAGCCTATCAAAGCGAAATCCAGTAGTTGGTTTGTGCTTAAACATTGATATTCATTTACAGAAAGCAATTTAGCAAGTATGCCACAAACATCTGTGCTAATTACCCCCATGTCATCGTTTCATCACCGAAGTCGGAAAGATGTACAGTATAATGATGATGTGCTTTCCATTTCCAGCGCAGCTCTCTTTAAACATATGGAGAGTGTAATGATCAGTTAACCTCTGAAGCTACAGATGATTCTTTTGGCATATTCATCGCTGGCTTTTGTGTGTGTGCATGCGTGCAAATGTTTGTCTTAGTGTATCTGTGTCACTATGCACAGACAAATACCAACACTTACAAACAAAATGTACAACTTAGAGCGGGCCGGGTACTCAAATTCGATTCAACCCAAAGAAAACAACAACATGGGTTCAAATGTATTGCAACGCACAGTAGGCAACCATTGCTTTTGACTCAACTGTTCCTGTTTTTTCTCTACTCGTCCTGTTTTTCCTTCCTCCCAAACATGAAATTCCAGCTGACAATCTCTAACTCACCACAGTGTTTTCCGCTACCACTCGAACCCACCTTGGCGTCCATTTTGTTAATCAACATCCCCTTTGAATTTTTTTATAGTCATAGACTGTAAATTGTGCCTGTCGCCTCCGGGTAATATGGCACAAGACAGCAGCAGTCTCACGTTCTTGTTTCCGACAGCAGTTAGCAAGATTTATCCAGCTTTCATTTAAATGTGTGCCAGAATGTTATGCTTTTCAATTTTCCTTAAAGTGGACCTATCATGCTATATTTGAATACCTATATAAGGCATATTTATACTTTTTATTTTTCAAAATACCAAACAGATCATGCATTTTAGCCATTCCTCATTTCGCTCAATTTAACACTGTCTTTGCACGGGCTGATTCTGTGAGAACAGCACCATCTACAGGCCTGGCATATGTACTACAGCGTCTCCAGCGCTTTCGAACGGCAATGTCCGTGGCTGTCTCCTCCTGATTGGTGGAGTTGGCCCAATAGCCGTAGCGCCACTTCTGTGACGTCACAGAAGTGTTCAAATCTGGATCAGTCTGTATCAGATCCGTTGCAGCCCCTTTTTAAGAGATTTGGGTATGGAGGAAAAGAGAGAGGGTTTTGTTTTCTGACACTTGGTGAGTTCCCTGGAACACCGGGGACACATATTCATGTATAAAAGACGTACAAAAGTGATTTTGCATGATAGGTCACCTTTAAAGGAGCTGGATAGAGTTTGTAAAATCAAGGGACACTATAAAACATATGCAGAGGCTTTTTGTAAACCTGTCTACAGATTACATTTCATACAAAAGTAGGAAGCAGCAACCTGAAGTCTAGATTTGTACTTTCAGTTACAACCATAAGATAGTTTTAACCATAAGACAGTTTTAAATATGTTTCTGGGAAATATTTAAGGTTTTCTCTCAAGATCTATTGCCAAAACGTTGTTGAAAGTGCCCAAAAATGCCAATGTGCTTATCTTTAAAGTACTATAAAGGGTGCTAAAACTGGAA